TATATCATACACAGTCAAAAAAGTGCCAATAAAGCTTTCACAGCTTAGAGATTTTACAGGCTGGAGAAAAAAGCAATAGTCAAGTTACTTTCCAAACTCTTCAAAAAAACACTATTGTGCAATGACACAAGAATTTCACCTAGCTCTTCTAGAAACAGCGACATTCAACAGGTGGAGTACAACATGTCCGGCACGTTAATACGTATAAGGATTTCTGAGTGAAATGAATACATTTACTCAAAGCTTCTCTTCGCACACACAAACACTCACAATCTCTTCAGTCACTGTTGGCATGAGAAAGGCTTTGCTTTCATGCAAGTAACTCTCCCATTTTTCATGCTTGTATTATATTCTCAGCAGATTTCTCTGTGTTGTATCTTACCTTATTATTGCTGGATACTTGGAGTGCTGTTTCCATTCATCTGCCCACTCCCTCTTTCAAAGCATGACAATGGACAGTAATGCTTGTTCCCTCCAGCATGGTCTCATGCAATTCCATTGAAACGGAACTTTTAATGCTGTTCATATATATATAAATAAAAATTAACTAGTGATGTAATTTCGTGAATGTTGATGGTTCATAAATTCATACTGTATTACATTTTGATACTACTTTTGTAGCTGCTGCCATCGAACTTATGTCGTTGCTGGAAAGCTTAAGGCCATCCTAAGTAAAGTTCCTTCCTAGCCTAGATATCTGGAAGGACATTTAGGTAAACCATTATGAAGTTCAGTATGACTTGTGATTTTCACACTTTAAATGATCTGATCTTCCATCGGTGGATCCTTTCCTGCTCCTTCCTAAGCCCTCCAATTCTCTCACTCATCCACTTGTAACTGACAGATACTAAATTAAAGAGTGTCTATCTTAAAATACATATAGACACATACATAGCTATAAATAACAGAAAAGGGTCATTTAGAGGAATTGTACATGAGATGCAAAAGAAAGTGCAGATTTACAAAGTGGCAGTTAACTGCAAAAGTTATAGTTAACATAAACATATGTTTAATGTGGGCTTTTAAAGTATTCTGATGGTGTGCTAAGGGTTGTGCTGCTTTGTTCAAGTTGTAGTGGATTCTAGAATTTCTGTTCTTTCTTTGACTACTTAAAGTACAAAACCAGAGTAACTCAGAAAAGCAAAACAAGTACCCCGATTTCCTGTGGCCTTACGGTTGAAGTATTCTGAATTTGTTAGAGTGCAAGCCCCAAGTGAAGCCTTCCCATTGGGTAATAATCCCATAACATCTCTTCATTCCTAATACAGTTGCACTGCAGCTTTCAGTCAAGGTTGTAGCCTGGGCCTCTCTTCTATACCTAGCTGCCTATTTTCACAAATCTTAAAAGATCAGAATTATTATGCATGAGACCTCTACTATTTTGCCAATATAACCAGCCAAAAACTTCAGCAGCTATTAGGGGGAGAAGGACACCAGAAAAGGTAATTATGTAAGATCTGTTTTCATACAAAAGCGAATTAAGAATCCCTACTTTTTATTTCTTCCCTGTCACAATGAATCAGGCACTTTCCACTTTAAATCAATAAGGCAGAGAAGACATAGAAAGACAGACAGATGAGACTATTAGTATTATGTGAAAGACTGGAACTGGAAATTAATTTTGCAGCAGGTGGTGATATTAAGCAGCATGTATATAGCTGTTGACTAAGTCAGAGCTTGTTTTGGCATACATACCTGAATTTGACACCCAAGCATCAGAAATATAACTGTGAACCCCCTAGCCCAACATGCAATTTCACCAGAATTAGACTATACTTATGTAATAGCCTATCTACTTTTAACTTAGCTACACAGCGTGCAAAACCGTCTTATAATGATACCAATAAAACCTCAGAACTAATATCTAAGCTCCAATGCATGTAGATTTTTTGCTAAGATTTACAAATTACAGACCAAACAGGGACCCATAACCTCTCTAAGAGTTTTAATGCTCATGTAAATAGTTGAGCAACAGAGATACGGAGATACTTGTACAGATACCTCATAAAGGGAAATCTGGGGAGGTCCCCACTGACTGGAAGCTAGCCAGTGTTGTTCCAGTCTACAAAAAGGGGGTGAGGCAAGACCCAGGGAACTACAGACCTGTTAGTCCAACCTCAGGTCCTGGAAAATTTATGGAGAAGATGACACTGGGTACTACTGAAGCACATTTAAAGAATGGTGTAATCATCAGGTACAGAAATTTAACAAGTCCAAATGCCAGATCCTGCACATGGGATGGAGTGACAGCAGGCACAAGGATAAATCGGGAGAGGAGTGGCTGCAGAGCAGCCCTGCAGAGAGGGATCCGGCGGTGCTGGTTGGCAGCAGGCGCAGTACGAGCCATCAGTGTGCCCTGGCAGCCAACAGGGAAAACTGCATCCTGGGGTGCATCAAACACAGCATCACCAGCCGGTCAAGAGAGGGGGTTATCCTGCTGTATTCAGCGTTGGTGCAGCCTCATCCTGAGTACTCTGTGCAGTTCTGGGCCCCACAATTTAAGAAGGATGTGAAGATCTTTGAATGCATCTGGAGGAGGGCAACCCTTCTGGTGGAAGGGCTGGAAGGCATGGCAAGTGAGGAGCGGCTAAAGACTTTGGGCTTGTCTAGTTTGAAGAAAAGGAGGCTGAGGGGTGACCCTGGTGCTCTCTACAGCTTCCTGAGGAGAAGTGCAGAGGGAGGTGCTGAGCTCTTCTCTGGTGTACCCAGTGACAGGACATGTGGGAATGGCTCCAAGCTGCACCAGTGGAGGTTTAGACTGGACATTAGGAAGTATTTCTTTACTGAGAGGGTGGTCAAACCCTGGAACATGCTTCCTAGAGATGGTGGTCAATGCCCCAAACTTGTCAGTGCTTAAGAGGCATTTGGACAATGCCCTTAGTAACATGCTTTAACTTTTGGCCGGTCCTGAATTGGTCAGGCAGTTGGACTAGATAACTATTTTAAGTCCCATCCAAATGAAATTCTATTTTATTCCACTCTACTTTTCAAAAGATATTACAAGAGCCTGTACACCAGAGACAGGTTTTGAATAAGAATGCACAAATGATGAAAATTTGCATGTAGCATTAAATTGCATTCAACAGTCAATCTAAAGCAGTTTAGTCAGATCTCTGTCAATTACTGTCTCAGTGACAAAATATATTTCTTATTTGCCTGTTTGCTGCCCATTAAATAATATAAATATTCACAGAAAGATGTACAAAAGCAGAATGCTTTTATAGCATTTGCTGTTCTGCTACTGAGAAAGGAACTCCTGAACTGATCAATACAATTCAAGTGACTGCAAGATCTTCTGATGTACTAAGCTAATACCCTAATCTTTGCTTAACTTTGCTTTGGAGACATAGTGATGTTTTTAGTCACATCAGTGTGTGCGTGCACACATGTGCAGAGAGGGAGAAGCGTGCAACACACATAAAGGGCACTCTCAGTCCCTGAATTTTCAGTATGATAATGTTGAAGGCTGTAACAGCCCCTCGGACCGTACTGAGACCAGCTGGGTACTTTTGCTGAGCTCAGCTCCGCAGGGAGTAGTGCCACCAC